GGAATGATTCCGCGCACCATCGAGTTCAGACCACTGAGTCTGACCTCGAGTTGCCGTCTGGGGAGTATTTAAACATCACGCCACTTGTTGTCGGGTATACCATTTGTCAGGTGCTGCGGAGTACTTTGACAAGCTGTATGACAATGATGATCTGGCTGTGGACGAGGAATAGGCCACCTGTGCAGACCCGAATTCGCCGAGGGTGTTATGACAGAGGGTTCTTTGCAAGCCTGAAGCTTGTCTGATCGCCTTATCTGCAGATGAGGTTAGAGCAGAATAAAGAATCGTGAATTTACAAGGAGCTGAAAGCTGAAGTTCTACTGTACATGCACGGGGTATTTATACTACTGCTCAACCTAACCTAAGGACTAGTCTACTAGTCAAAGGGACTGCGGGTGAGTCAGTGAGGCTGCGCTCTATGAGTCGACAAAGGCAGTACTACTAAACTAGAGTCAGAGATGAAAGAGGAACTAATATCCCACGCCACCATGCCCATCATAACATTACCCCCCAATCTACCTTCGAGCAACGATCGAAATTAGTTAAGGGCCCAGATTTCTTCTTGGACTCGTGCGACTGCCTCCTCGAGAGCCCTCTTGATGACTATGAGCGGCTTGGATTGTTTGTTGCGGCGGCGGTGTTCGCGCTTGAGCTGCCTCTGCAAAACCTTTGCAGGAGTCGTCCAATCCGAGAGAGCGCTCGGGGACGTCCATCTGGAATCGATGGTGTCGAGGGACTTGTCGTGGGAGGCGAACCAGACCAACTTCTTGGTGGAGATGTGGCGGTCGGACTCATATGATGGGGGTGATGACGAGTTCTGCGAAAAGGATGGTTGGTCCTGAAAGGATCGAAAGGACTGGTTGGCCGATAGAAAGGACTGGCTGGGCGACGAGGGGTGATGCGTTCAGAGAGAGGTCGAAAGTGGGTTGGTGTTGAGTTGGGCATGGGCTCGAAGTCATTGAATAAGTAGGCGAAATGAATAGAGGGCCCAAATTGATAGTGATGGATGGTGTTGATAATGCGAGCTGCTGATGGGTGTGTTTCGGAATAATTGGCAAAATCCCTCCAGGCCTCTAGGTGCTCCATGTCTGTCCTTCCGATTTGTGTCCTGAGCCTCGTGAGCCCTTCGTCATTGATGTGTACCAGGTCCACAGCGGTGTGATGAGTGTCGGTGAATTGCTTGTTGAGAGCATGGAAGCTCGCGACAGTCCTTGCAAATATCTTCGTGGCATTGTCCTCTTCCTGGGCAAGTTGCGTGAGGAGTTCGACGGCACTGTAGTCGTTGCGGATTTCAGAGAGTCGCTGGAGGTATGTGGTCTCGCGGTACTTCCACTCCATTTCTTTGGCGCTGGCGTTGCTCCAGTCCCAGTGGGACTCAGAGTGTTTGTCAATGGGGATGGTGCTTTCATGGGAGACTGGAGTGGGTGCACGGGATTGGGCAATTTCGGGGGCGTGGTAGGAGTCGTTGTCCGAGACGTCGGCGTCGTAGGTGTACTGGACGTCGGGGAGGTTGATAGAGGAAGGGCTCCGGATGCGGATCTGCGAGGTGGACTCAGTGAGAGTGGAGACGGGGACGCACTCGTAGACGGTGGTGAGAGTAGAAGACATTGTTTTGTAGAGAGGCGAGGCTGATTTGGAGACTTGAAACTTGTTGTAGCTGTGACTGGGGTTGTCTTGGCTAGAGAACGAATAGGCAGATTGTGCCTCTTTTTATACGCGTTCAGAATATCTTGGGCATTCTTTAGGTGAGACTCGGGTTCCCAGGAGTTCACTGCCTGTGGCTGTTCTTTCCACTTGACGAGGTATTGGACATAGCCATAAAATGTCTTGTGATTGAGTATTGCCTCAACTTCATGCTCTTCGTGGCCGTCAATGATCTCTGGGGGCTGTTCTAAGAAGTTGGGGCCGTGCTGTTCGGTTTCATGATACGGGGTGAGAAGCGAGGCGTGGAAGACATCATGAAGTTTTTGCTGCCCTCAAAGATTGAGTTTGTATACCAAAGGTCCTAAAACCTCCTTGATTCTAAATGGTCCCTGACGTTTGGGTGCGAGCTTCTTGAAGGGATAACCATCTTGGAAGTTTGTCATCTCAAGCCAGACCTTCTGACCTTTCAGGAACGGTGAAAACTTCCTGTAAGCTCTTGAGGCCATGCGATGCTGTGCTTGGTCTAAGGCAGCATGGGCTTCTTCATGTGTGCGAGTCTGTTCTAGAAGCCATTGTTGTATAGACGGAACCTTGGTCTTGGGAAAGGCTGTGGAGATGATCTTTGGATGTGAGCCATGCATGAGATAGAATGGTGAATGCTTTGTGGCACTGTGTTCTCGATTGTTGAACGCCACTTCCATATCAGGAAGAAGCTGTGCCCAGCTGTGCAGAATGTTCTGGCAGAAAATTCTGATGTATGCTTCTATCTCTTGATTGGCTCGTTCCATTTGACTGTCAGTCTGAGGATGGTATGCAGTGCTCATTCGTCCTTGTACTCCGGTTAGCTTCCATAATTCTCTTATGACTTGAGAGTCGAATTGCGGACCCTGGTCCGTGAGAAAGATGTCTGGTAGTCCAAATCTTCAGTAAACGTATTGATGGTAGAGTTTGGCTGTGCCTAGC